CCCCCCCCCCCCCCCCCCCTATAGTACATTTTGAGGCATTTTCAATCTTTCTCGAGTAGACGTCATTTTGGCAATTAGTCATATGCCTCCACGCAGTGTCCCTCGAGTATCCAATTGATACCAAATTTGGTGAGCTTTCATCTTTCACATAGACGGACTACCTGACCCTCTTCAAGCTTGTCTTCAACACTCGTGTCACGTCATTCTATTGAACCTTGTGTATGCCTCAGCTTTGATTGAATGCACACTCTTGGGGTGTTGGATGATGCACATTTCTCCTGATCGTATCATGTCACTTCTCAATCTTGACCCTCATGTGACTGGATGGGAGCCATGTGAGGGTCGCCTTTTGTCAGTCTTGCGTATGAGGGTAATAAAACTTACTTTCTCTTAGTGGGGTTGTGACACAAGGTCTTCTCTACTAAGCACAACTAGTGTTCCCTCAATAGTACCCTTTATTAGGTCACAAGTCCTAAGTGGATGACATCGCATTCCTACATACAAAGTAAACCCTCACAAATCGAAACAAGTTCATGGTTATGGGTTGTACTCTAATCGTCCTTACATAGTACTAACCTAACACACAAAATCTATAATCTATAGTGACGCTATACATAGCTCAAGGTTTAAGGCTAACAAAATAGTCTCTAAGTAATATAAATTTCAAATTCTCAACTAAGGGTTTAACATACTAGGGAGAGGTTTCCACAACCTAATGGTTTGTTCCCCTTTTCAACCGATGTGAGATCTCAATCATCCACCCACTTCAGTGCCCAACATCCTCATTGGTACACCACTTGGTGCTTAGTTTTTATACCATTATAATAGCTCAAACACACCGCTAGTAAATAATGTTCGCTTTGACATGTTATACATCGTTATTAGACTCACAATTTTAAAACGTATTTATTATGAAGGGAGTCTAGCTCTATTCTATCAACTAGTGCCTTTCACTGTTCGATGACGGACCTAATACTAATGGTAACACCTACCGGATAAGGCTTACAATTGAAGTATGATATAATCCAACTCTACAAGTTAATTTCTTCCCCCTTGGTTATTCAAGAAAAACTGTGCATCACAGTCGATGGATTTAGCTCATCCATTTGTTTTTCATTAGTTGGAGGACTTCCAAATAGCTGCCTCAGGCTTCACCTAATTCGGCCTCACTTCATTTTTCTCCAGTGGCTGGGGTTGGTGAAAGCGGGTCTCGCGCCGTGGGACCGGAAAAAGTTAGTTGAATCGTAATCCATTCGAAAAATTCCTTAAATTCCACTCCAAATATCGAAAACCCATTTGATTTTTCTGGAGGTTTCTTCTGGGAAGAATCGGTGATGGATTTCTCACAGTCTTTAGATCCGCAAATCCTTCTGGGTTTGGCTGTGGCTGGTTTAGCCCTTGTCGTTGGCGCTCTCTATGTATTATCCTCGTCTAAAAAAAGCAAATCCAGAGGTTAGCTACTCTTGAATCTCAGTTTTTCTGTAGTTCCCATTGCTTTGATTTCTTTGCGGTTGATTTTTGGGATCGGTTGTGTTTTGATTTGTTCTCTTTTATGAAATTTTGAGATTCCGGTGAAGTTCTTACATGTCATTTCGTAAATAAGTGGAGTTTTTGAGTTAGAAATCGATATGGATTAAGGATTGGATCCATATCTGGTTAATCTCTTCGTATCAACTCATAGTTTAAATCTTATTTGCGAAAATTACGTATAGAGAGGAGATAAATTGAGCTTACTACCCATTAAGTGGGTCATATGCTGTCTACTTGAGCTTGAACTATGCTCAGATGAGCTAGCTTATAGTAACTTGAACTTTCTTGAAGTTGTAGAAGCTAATTAATCTATGTTACATGGTTCCATTTTCTGTCTCTGGACTTTTGTTTTTTGTTTTTAAAGATCTGTAATGGACATTCCAGTTCAAATTCGACCGATAATTTGTTTTCAATTGATATCAGTTAAGGAGATTTGATGGGAAACATCACATAAACAGGGCTTTATGTTAGAGTTGTCCATGAAAATATTATATCGTTTGATAATAAGAAGGGTCGATTCAGTAATGTGTGGACCGATGTGGTGTTCACTCAACTCTTTAGCAGGATTCTAGTGCTTTTGGTGGTTTTGTTGTGATGATACATTAGAACATTGTCTGTTATTGGTGCTTTATGTGATTCGTTTTCTTAATTTGTTTGCCGTATGATTGGAAAGACGTGCTCAGATATTCTTGGGTAATCACCAAAGCATCCATACTTTTATTGAAGCTGCATCCTTTCTAGCTTTATCTTGGAGTGAATTATCTTATCCATTATGTACTTACAATTACCCTCCTATAGGACATTCTTTTGTAATCGATTTCATCGATTAATGAAGTGGTTTCTGTTTCCTCGAAATTTAAGTTGTTTTCCTTATGATATGGTTTTGTGCATCCAGGTTGCTTGGATCCAGAGATATTCAAGGAGTTTAAACTTATCAAACGCGTGCAGCTGAGCCATAATGTGGCAAAGTTTACATTTACACTCCCAAATCCTACTTCAGTTTTGGGTCTTCCCATTGGACAACATATAAGTTGCAGGTCTAGTAGTTGATCTTATTTATTCTTCATAGGGTTATTTGGATTTCTATTCGCCGTGGCTATGGATAGGTAGCCGAATGAAAAAAAAAATGTTGATCTTGACATTATATGGTGTAGGAATCACAATACTATACTTTCCTTAACTCGGTAACACTTAGAGATAACTTGAAATAAGCAAGTTTCCTTTAAAGATACCGGTTAAACTGTAACGACCCTAACCCACCGCTAACATATTTTGTCCTCTTTGGGCTTTCCCTTTCGAGCTTTCTCTCAAGGTTTTTAAAACGTGTCTATTAGGGAGAGGTTTCCACACCCTTATAAAGGGTATTTCGTTCTTTTCCCCAACCGATGTGAGATCTCACAATCCACCCTCCTTCGGGGCCCATTGTCCTCGCTGACACTTGTTCCCTTCTCTAATCAATGTGGGACCCTCCCAATCCACCCCCTTCGAAGCCCAGTGTCCTTGCTGGCACACCGCCTCGTATCCACCCGCTTCAGGGCTCAGCCTCCTCGCTAGCACATTGCCCGGTGTTTGGCTTTGATACCAACTGTAACGGCCCAAGCCCACCACTAGTAGATATTGTCCTCTTGGGATCTCACATAAACTGTCAATCCTGCCTCTGCTTCATTATAGATTTTTTGATTTAGCTCATAGCTGATCACAACTTTTGTTGGATGAGGTCACTTGACATTATATTATTTAGGCTAAAACTTCTAAAATTTTGTTACGGTGGAGTATCTTGTGTCTCTTAGCTGCTTGATTGTGTTCATCGTTGAGAAACTGTTCTATTCTTTAAATATGCTAACCAGAAATGACTTCCGGACTCTCCCTTCGGTTTGAGTGGGGATGCGTGCCTTATTGCCCTCTTCACCTGGTGTTGTTTTTGAAGATGACTGTTCCATATTGGATCATTTACTGTCCCTGAGAAATTATAATTCATTCATCTCACAGGGGCAAGGATGGCCAAGGTGAAGAGGTCATCAAACCGTACACACCGATTACTTTGGATTCTGATGTTGGATATTTTGAGCTCGTCATAAAGGTTTGTGTTTTCTGATTCTTAGTTGATGAGCAGTATTTTAATGGTATGCATGCTTGTTAATCTGAACTCTGTAATGTGTTTAATCAGATGTATCCCCAAGGAAGGATGTCGCATCATTTCCGACAGATGCGTGTTGGCAATTTTCTTGCTGTAAAGGGGCCCAAGGTATGGTCAATCAATAACTCCGACAGCTATTTAAGTCATGTTTTTTAAGCTTTTAAGTATTGATGTTTTTTAGGATTCTAGCATTCAGCTTCCTTCAGGTTCGGCTGCAGACTTAATGAAACATTTTGTTTGAAGAATTTAATGAAACATTTTGTTTGTCACAGACACAAAGACCCCTCTTATTCTTTCTCTAGTGAGAGAGAAGCAAAGAACTTTATGGTACCTTTGAAAACACTGAGAATATTCAAAATTCACAACGAAAATATTTCTGCAGGGGCGTTTCAGGTATCAACCTGGCCAGGTCAGAGCATTTGGGATGCTCGCTGGAGGCTCCGGCATTACTCCTATGTATCAAGTACGAATTTCCTTTTCTTTTGGCTTGATCATTTTAGTTCCTCAACTTACCATCATTCGGACGACTTGATTGTTGTTATCGATACTTTGCTTTCTTTTCTGCTCTTTAGGTTGCTCGAGCAATATTAGAAAATCCAAATGACGAGACGAAGGTACATCTCATTTATGCCAATGTCACCTATGAGGACATTCTTTTAAAGGTAATGTTGTCATCTTTCTTCAATAAACATACCCCTCGTCCTCGTATTGACCATAAATTTAGATACCAGTTGATCCTCTCATTTTGAAACATGTTGATGGTTAGTTTCATTTGATGAAAATGTTTTCGGTACTTTCATGTTTGAACTCCTTAACTAAACACGTGTATAGAGATCGTTTATCAACTTAAATATAGTTTAATTAGTTAAGGCATATATCCTCGATCGTAAAGTCAGGGTTTGCCATTTTTATAAAGATAAAAAAATCATGTAATTCGTGCGATTTTGGGTATTGAAGGGCGAAGGATCTTAATATTTTTGTAGCCTCTTCTTGGGCTTCCACTTTTGCTTTCATAATAATAATTCAATGTCTATGATTTATATATCTCTCTATAATTTCATCACTTTCCTTACCAAAAGAAACTTGTGTGGTTGTAGGAGGAGTTGGATCTTCTTGCCAAAAGGTACCCAGATAGCTTCAAGCTCTATTATGTCTTAAACCAGGTCAGTCTTCTCCATCAGTCACAGCCCCAAATTTATCCTTTTCTCTGTGGTTTAACTTTTTACCATTACAAGATGTCGATGTCAAATGACGTGAAATCGCATTATGCTTATCTTGTTTTGTTTTCTAGACCAGTGATCGATAAGAACTTTGACGAATCTAGTGAATTGAACTGATTGGTATTACTATGTGGTTCGATCTCTTTCTTCAAATCAGGTTTTTTTTTTTATTTTTTTATTTTTTTATTTTCTTAATGACCGTTCTTAAAAGTTATCATAGCTCGATCTTGTTCTATTGGCTTGAAATCCATTTTTTGTAGCTAGGGTCGAAGATTGTTCGTAAAAGTTAAAACATAAATGAGATTACTTTTAGTTGACCGTTCTCGGAAAGTTGTTTTGTTCTTGTGAGTGATTTATCTCTCTAGAGCCCCCCAAGCACGATTCTTAAAAGTATCTTTAAAAATCGTTATGCGAAACAAGCTAATGAACACTTCCGGATTCGTAAACTTGTGCATTGTGGATGGAATTGGGTTCTCTAAGGCCATGATGGATCTCCTTGGGAGCTTCATTTATGCTTGCTTGATTATGTACTTTGTTTAATGGTTTGCAATGTCATATCTTTTAATCAACCATTCATATATCAATTGCTTACTCAGCCTCCTGAAGAATGGGATGGTGGCGTCGGATTCGTATCGAAGGAGATGATTCAAACCCACTGCCCCGCTCCTGCTTCTGATATTCAGGTATGGATTACAACTATGGTTTCAAATAATACGAATGCTTTGGATCTGTTTTCGAAACCATGTTTGAACGATTTCTTTTTGTTCGAAGTCTTCTCTCTTGCTTTCTTAGTAATTTATTCTTACGAACGACCTGTTTCCAAAAGCGAATGAAGATGTTCTTTCATGTGCTCAATAAGTTGGATCGGAGTAGGACCGTTGGATCATTCACTTGTCCGTATTAATAGGTTTAAAAATTAAGTTTATAAACACTACCTTCACCATTCGCTACGCGTTTACTCATTGGATCATTCGCTGCGCATTTATGAGATTAGTAGGATTGTTTGCTGCTGTCTGATCTTTTATTCATGAAACAACAAAATTTTAAGTGTTACCCTGTTTTGTAAGCAGGTTTTAAGATGTGGGCCACCACCAATGAACAAGGCCATGGCTGCTCATCTTGAAGCTCTTGGATATGCACCTGAGATGCTGTTCATGTTCTGAGCCTTCCTCAACCTCCTCACTAGAGCTAAGCATCATTTATTTTTCTTCCCCCTTCTAAACTTTGAACATTATGTACTGAGAGGATGTTGCCTTAGCTCTTTTCACTTTGCAATGTTGTTGAACTTTGATGCCATCATTAACATCAACTCTTAGAGCTATCGAGAGTCTAGACTTGTAACAATTCTAGAATAGTTTTCTTTTGAAGTGTAATAAGACCGGTTTAGATTAGTTTTTTAAGTAAAACCCAAGTCTACTGCTGGTAGAGATTGTCCGCTTTGGCCCATTAGGTACTGTTAGCTTCACGGTTTTTAAAATGTGTCTATTAGAAAGAGATTTCCAAACCCTTATAAGGAATGATTCGTTTCCCTCTTCAACAGAGGGCGAGATCTTATAATCCACCCCCCTTGAGGCCCAGCGTCCTCGTTGGCACACTGCTCAATGTCTACCGTTGGCAGATATTGTCCATTTTGGTTTGTTACGTGTTGTCGTCAGCCTCACAGTTTTTAGAACACATCTATGAGCAAGAGGTTTTCATACGTTTATAAAGAATGTTTCGTTTCACTCTCTAATTGATGTGGGATCTTACAACACTTTTTTAATCATCTAGAAAGTCGATATAAACACGAGTTTATAATATATAGATATAATTTTAAGAAGTATTTTGGGCTAGTTTATATATACAATTTCGTCAAATAACTACAATATGTATCCATCAAATAATAAATTTACACCCTTCGAAATCATTGTACACGTGTGTACGACTTCTGAAAGGGATTGACATAATACGAAAGAAAAACTCTAGCAAATACCCACTGTTGGGGTCAGGTAATGCAAACACACACATACATGACGAGACCTATCTTTTAAAACAACATAACATGGCCTTGAACTCTTTCGAGTCCAAGTAGGGTTGGATGTGTGGTACTTTCCCACACATGGCCCACACGCAAACACATGGACCCACTAGGTGGACTTGTATACGTACCCCTAGGCTTGACTTCATCGGGCTAAACGCATTGACGTGTGAGCGGTGTGTAGGAAAGTGCTACACATCCAATTTATCCGGACTAGAGTCCACCTCTATAATCGTTTTAAATGATAGGTTCCTAATCATATTTACATATGTTTGCATTTTTTACCCCAATAATGAAGTCACTTACCGATGTGCTACTGCTATATTTTAGGTAAAGGTAAGGCACCCCACTGTCCGATGGCGACATCACAATTGAAGACCATAACACATGTATAGAGTAGTCGCATTTAATTTCGTAACCTTTAGGTTAGTATAGGACATTTTTGTTTTATTTTCACTTATGTCTATTTTAATTTTTCAGTTGTTTCGTTTTAAAACCTTTTTCTTAAATAATATTAGTTCATGACATTGTTTTATGAATATGTTTTAAATGAATATTTCCGCATAAGAAGTATGTCATGCATACGATAGCAACTTTAGGTTAGTAAAAACTAGGGTCGTTACAAGTGATGTAACCGCCCTAGTTAGTCCTAAGTAAGCAACATTATAGCCTTAGCCTTGAACTCACAAGTTAGCAAAAGTATCGTTGAACTAGTTAGCCCTAAGTGTCAGCTTAGACAAGTCTTGAATGTGGTTCATAGTCTTGGGTTCAAGAAAAGTTAAAACGATAGACGAAAAGACTTTAGGTCACAAATATGGTTTTATTTTTAAATGGTAACAGAGTTGCGTGACTATTGTAGTGGCGAGCTCAAGTTTTAGGGCTGTTGAGTTGTATGGATAGATTCGTGTTGTGATATCTCACATTGGTTGGGTAAGAGAACGAAACATCCTTATAAGGGTGTGGAAATCTTTCCCTAACAGACACGTTTTAAAGCCTTGAGGGGAGCTTGAAAGAGAAAACCCAAGAAGACATTATCTGCTAGCGGTGGGCTTGGACTGTTATAAATGGTATCAAAGCTAGACGTCAGGCGATGACCAATGAGGAGGTTGTTCCCCAAAGGGGGGTACACACAAGGCGGTGTGCCAGTAAGGACGTTATGTTCTAAAGCGGGGTGGATTTGGAAGAATCCCACACTGATTGGAGAAATGAGCGAGTACCAACGAGGCTTGAAAGAGGTGAATTATGATATCCTACATTGATTGAGGAGGAGAACGAAACACTATTTGCAAGAGTGTTGAAATTTTTTCCTAGCAGACGCAATTTAAAGTTTTAAAGATTATATTAAAAAAAATCTTATTTATACACATCACTAACATCTTTTACAAACTTCAACTAGTCTGATAAGAACTTAAATAATTATACATAAAATTATACATATTTTAATTATATAAAATAATTTTTTTTTAAAAAAAAAACCTAATACTCATATTTTAATTATATAAAAATAAAGTAAAAAAAGGGAGAACCTAACTCGTTGCGTCATTCTTTTCTCCACCGATTCTTTCTACGGATTTCTCCGTATCCGTCCGGCAGCCGCTCCGATTTCTTTCGTCTCTTTCCATTTCTGTCTTTGCAGCAACCTCGCGCCGTCATCGCAGCTCCTCCATCTCTCCGGTGATCGCCGTTGAGGTCTGCTCGGATCGAATGTTTTTTTCTTATTCAATCAACTTCAAAATACGGTAAATTTGGAATTAGGTCAATTTTCAATTGAGTTAACTAAGACAATATTTCGAATCCTACTGGATTTCGAATTCTATTCTTTGTTATGCTGCAATGTTTTTCGTTTACTTTTCCTATGGTGATGTCCGTTCCCTTCCACTGTTTTCTATTTTGCCTCATCCGAACCGCTTTGTTTTTGTTCTGTTTATTTTTTCTGATTTTACCTTTCTGCTTGTTTGTTTCATGACACTTGACCAATTAAATTTAGACTTAAGTTTTAGTTTGGTGGCTACCGACTGTTGAGGCTTGAACTTGCGACATTTCCCAGGTCAATTGAACTAACCCCTAAAATTATTCATGTTTGGGACTATTTAATTTTGAAAAATCATCATTTCTGTGCTTTTTCGACCCTGTGTTTGTGTTTCTATTATTTGCAATGAGAATCCGACGCTTTGTTGTGAAAACTGCAAACTAGATTGTCTTGTTTATTTATGCTTTCGGGTTTTCAAATAAAAATTAATTAATTCATTTGACACTAATTTTATATAGTTTTCTCATAATATTTTAGTTGTTAATACTTGAATTTGAAATGAACTTTTAGGTTCCATTTTGCGTACACAGAAAATTGGGTGTAAATAATGTGTTCAGTTATGTTTTAAAAAAAGAACTTTATTTCTGCATAAATAAGACATTATATTGTGGTTTATCTCTTTTAGCTCCATAAGGCAACAAAGCTCTGTTATAGTTTTTGAGAGTATATATTGATCTTTCTATTGTTCAATATATATAAATTTCCTCAGATGCTCTAAATTGTCATAAGTTTGAGTGCTGAATCTGTACCTGTGCAAAAAAAATAGTATTTTTTTTTTGCTTGTCCTTCGTGTGATTGTGATATGACTTTTTTTTTGGGGGAAACATGATGTGATAGTATGTGTGTACCACGTATTTTTGTTAAATTTTAATATGAATTTACTTTTTTATCTGATCCTCGTGTTGCTGAAAATAGATGGTCAATGTTTCTACTAAATGTCAGACGTGAACAACTCATGTTAATGGTTTTTTCTTTTATGCTAGGTAATTTTCCCCCATTGTCAGGTTGATTGGTGCAATGGGAAGGAAGAAATCAGAAGAAGGTGGTGGAAACGCCAAAGTCAAGCCTGTTAAAGATGCTTCCGGGAAGAGAGAGAAGCTTTCAGTGTCAGAAATGCTGGCCAGTATGGATCAGAAATCTGATAAACCGAGAAAGGGATCTTCATCTTTGAGTGGTGGTGCTAAACCTCAAGCAAAAGCCACAAAAAAAGTTGCATCATACACTGATGGCATTGATCTCCCTCCCTCAGATGATGAGGAAGAAGAAATTGTGTCTGACGAGGAGCAGCAAAGTACCAGTTCCCAGAAACGCCTACCCTGGCAGGACAGGGCTGAGACGAAGCCTCTGGAGGTGGCTGTAAGTGACAAAGAGTTGAAAAAACGAGAGAGGAAAGATTTGTTTGCTGCCCATGCTGTAGAACAGGCCAGACAAGAAGCTCTAAAAGATGACCATGATGCTTTCACTGTTGTTATTGGTAGCCGAGCTTCGGTTCTTGATGGTAATGATGAAGCTGATGCAAATGTCAAAGACATTACTATTGATAATTTCTCTGTTTCAGCTAGAGGGAAAGAGCTTTTAAAAAATGCATCAGTGAAGATATCTCACGGGAAGAGGTATGGTTTAGTTGGGCCTAATGGTATGGGAAAGTCTACATTATTAAAGCTCCTTGCTTGGAGGAAGATACCCGTTCCTAAAAATATTGATGTTCTTTTGGTTGAACAAGAGGTGGTTGGTGATGATAGAACTGCACTTCAAGCAGTTGTTTCTGCTAATGAGGAACTGGTCAAGCTTCGGCAAGAAGTTGCTGATTTGCAGAATTCTGATGCTGGTCAAGAGGAAAATGATGATGATGATGATGCAGGAGAGAGGCTTGCTGAGTTATATGAAAAGCTGCAACTCTTGGGATCAGATGCAGCTGAGGCTCAAGCTTCCAAGATTCTTGCTGGACTGGGTTTTACCAAGGATATGCAAGCACGGCCTACCCGTTCATTTAGTGGTGGATGGAGAATGAGAATTTCACTGGCTCGGGCTCTTTTTGTTCAGCCAACACTTCTATTACTAGATGAACCCACAAATCATCTAGACCTTAGGGCTGTTCTCTGGTTGGAGGAGTACCTCTGTCGGTGGAAGAAAACTCTTGTTGTTGTGTCGCATGATCGAGATTTCCTCAACAGTGTTTGCAATGAAATTATTCATCTTCATGACTTTAAGCTTCATTTTTATCGTGGGAATTTTGATGGTTTTGAAAGTGGATATGAGCAGCGTCGGAAAGAAATGAACAAGAAGTTCGAGATATATGATAAACAGGTGAAAGCAGCTAAGAGGTCTGGAAGCAGGGCTCAACAAGAGAAGGTGAAAGACCGAGCAAAGTTTGCTGCTGCTAAGGAAGCCTCGAAGAACAAGTCCAGGGGAAAGGTTAATGAAGATGATCTCCTGCCAGAGGCCCCCAGAAAGTGGAGAGATTACAGTGTCGAATTCCACTTCCCTGAACCCACCGAGCTCACCCCACCATTATTA